CCTGGCGTTGTTTGCGGGTTTACCTGAGTACTACGTAGTACTCCAGTGTTGCTGGAACTCTTCTCACCAGCCCACCTCACTCCGACCCTATCCCTGAGGAGAGCGGTGTCCACCCGAGCCCTGCCTCGGACTGGGCGTGCGCCGAAGTCGGCACGCCTTTTACCGTGGCTTTTTGAGGCTCTTGTCAGGACTTATCTCGCGTCGTCGCCATGGCGCCCACTATCCAGACCCAGGCCCAGCGCGAGGATGGCCACAGGTAGGCAATACGGCGCCTGACTGTACTGTTTTTCTTTACGTTTGGGTAGGCATCGGCGAGGTGGGAGGGTCGAGCCCAGTTGTCAGTCTACAACCTCACCAGCCCCCCCATGTCAGCCCGTGACGTCACGGAGCGCTCACCGGCTCACGGGGGCGGGTCTCAGAAGGCGTGTTGCCCCCCTCTTTCCCTGCCGTGGAGTTCTGGAATTAAGCTCTTGGGGACTTTACCCAGAAGGGATTGAGTTTTTATTCTTCCAGTCAAACGTTTGGAGACCCCTTTTCCCAAAAACAATTGAGCATGTGACTTTTATTAAAGTACTTGAACACATCTCCTTCAAAAGGGATTGAGCACTTGGCTTCATTCATTAAAGCCTTTAGGGACACTGAAAGGAATACGTGACACTCTCAGAGCACTTGGGACACCCCTTCCAAGAGGAATTAGCGTTTGTCACTCTCTCCTTCCCTTTTAAAAGCTTGGAAAAACCCCCTTTGCTCGCCTGTCAATCCCTTTCTTTACATCTTTTGTCAGTGTCTCTCTTTTACCCACCAGGCCCAATTCTCACCGGACTCTGCCTGAGAGGTGAGCTCCACTGTGTTTTCTTAGGACGGGTGGGCCAATGGGGGTTGCGAACAGAGGTGGGGCATCAGGGGCTGGGTTTTGAGCCACTGTGTTCCCAGGTCTGGAGTGGTCTGCCGAGTCAAGTACTGCAATAGCCTCCCTGACATCCCCTTCGACCCCAAGTTCATCACCTATCCCTTCGACCAGAACAGGTGAGACTGCGCATGGGGGTTAGGGAAACGCCTCACTTAGAATATGAGTTCCTTGAGGGCAAGGACTGCTTCTCTTGTTGACTGTTCACGCATACAACAGTAGCTAGCACATAATAGTAGGTGCCCCGTAAATATTTAAGTAAAGAAGCAAGCAGTGTCCAAGTCTCTTCGAGAGCTGCTCGCCTGCTGACTCCAACATGGGGGACATTTCGTTCCGAGTTCCTCCCTGGAGGAGCTTAGCCTCTGGGAAGCAGGGATGTGAGGGATAAGCCTGGAATTAGGCAACCATAATGGGCATGTTTCCCCACCCAGGTTTGTCCAGTACAAAGCGACTTCCTTGGAGAAACAGCACAAACATGATCTCCTGACTGAGCCAGACCTGGGAGTTACCATTGACCTCATCAACCCTGATACCTACCGCATCGACCCCAATGGTGTGTTGGGAGACAGGGAGGGCCTGCCCTAGGCTAGCGAGGGCTGGCTGTGGTCCTCCGTCGTAGTCCTTCTCTCACCTTGCTCTCTTCTAGTACTCCTAGATCCAGCTGATGAGAAGCTTTTGGAAGAGGAGATTCAGGCCCCTACCAGCTCCAAGAGGTGAGGGGGTGCTGAGTGGGGACTCAGGACTGGCTCTGATGGGAGGAAGGTAGTGGGGTCCTGAGGTGCCCGATTCTCCCGCCCCAGATCCCAGCAGCATGCAAAGGTGGTGCCATGGATGCGGAAGACAGAGTACATCTCCACCGAGTTCAATCGTTACGGCATTTCCAATGAGAAGCCTGAGGTTAAGTAAGTTGTGGTGGGTAGGGAGGGAAGGTGGAGCATTCAGGTATATCCAGTGGCCTCTAAAGGCCTTTTTCTTCCTCCCTAGGATTGGGGTTTCTGTGAAGCAGCAGTTCACTGAGGAAGAAATATACAAAGACAGGGATAGCCAGATCACAGCTATTGAGAAGACTTTTGAGGATGCCCAGAAATCCGTAATTGAGGCACTGGGATGGAGGGGGGGAGGCAGACAAAGGTGTGGTTCCAGAGCACTTTGTACTCCTTCTCACCCTGTTTTTGCCTCTGCCAGATCTCCCAGCATTACAGCAAGCCCCGAGTGACACCAGTGGAGGTCATGCCTGTCTTTCCAGATTTTAAGGTCAGATCCAGGGCAGGGGGCAGAGAGGGATAGCCTGCCATCTCTGCCTGTCCCAGTCTAACTCCAGTGCGCTCCATCTCCCAGATGTGGATCAACCCTTGCGCTCAGGTCATCTTTGATTCAGACCCCGCCCCCAAGGACACAAGTGGTGCAGCTGCATTGGAGATGATGTCTCAGGCCATGATCAGGTAAGTGGCCCTGCCGTCCACCTCGGCCTGCTTCTCGTTGTCTCTTTCTCCTCACTCACTCTTAACTGCTCCTCCTCTTCCCCCAACCAGGGGCATGATGGATGAGGAAGGGAACCAATTTGTGGCTTACTTCCTGCCTGTGGAAGAAACACTGAAGAAACGAAAACGGGACCAGGAAGAGGAGATGGATTATGCACCAGATGACGTGTGCGTGGGTTGGGGTTAGGTTTTGGGTATTGAGAAGTGTCTCCTTTTCTCCCTCACAGGGAAGAAATGGGGCTGACCCTATCCCCTTTATCCTCAGGTACGACTACAAGATTGCTCGGGAGTACAACTGGAATGTGAAGAACAAGGCTAGCAAGGGCTACGAGGAGAACTACTTCTTCATCTTCCGAGAGGGTGATGGGGTTTACTACAATGAGTTGGAGACCAGGTACTCAGCACAGTCCTACCTCACTCAGATTAGCCTGGGCTTGTACTTCAGTACCCTGGGGTATGCAAGAGCCACCTTGGAGGTCATTTATACCTAAAGATTTGCCATGTGCATTTGTAAGAGCAGAAGCCTGTTCATGCATGTGGGCTGGACCTGGTTCTAACACAAGAACCCAGAAAAAATCTTTACTTAACACTGGAGATTTTTAGAGCTTTCACGTAGAGTAGGACTACCAAGTTTACCGATACTACTAAGAGGCTTCGTGTAAGAGTAAACATAGCTAAAGTATGGAGTAATACATAAAATTAGCATGAATGTTTTAAATGAAGCGCTAGATACCCAAGTTCAAAAAACATGACCCCCCAGACTTCCCTGATGGTTAAAAGTTTACTGCTGTGTTGGGACCCTTGGTGTAAGGTTGGGAAAGTGTGACCTGGAGTTTCTATTTAAAGGAGAGATCCAAATTCTGATCCCATTAAGGCAAAAAAATCTAAAAGGGGGCTTCCCTGGTGGCACAGTGGTTGAGAGTCCGCCTGCCGATGCAGGGGACATGGGTTCGTGCCCCAGTCCGGGAAGATCCCACATGCTGCGGAGCGGCTGGGCCCGTGAGCCATGGCCGCTGAGCCTGCGCATCCGGAGCCCGTGCTCTGCAATGGGAGAGGCCCCAACAGTGAGAGGCCCGCATACCGCACACACACACACACACACACACACACACAAAATCTAAAAGGCACAGTGGGCTGCTGGGGGCTGGGTGACCTGGAGCTCTTGGCAACCTCCAAGGGGCACTGCGACCCAGCACAGCAACCCATTTGCCGCTATGCTTGGGGTGGGGGTGGGGGTGGGGGGTGGCGGCGAGGCAACAAAGGCCCGGCGGGGGGGGTCACAGAATCTTATTTTCCAAAAGCCAGAAATCCAGATTATGTTCTTTTAAAGTGTTGGTATCTAGTTCACATTAAAGTCTCGTTCTTTATACGTTTATGTGTATGTGTACAGGGCATACATATACACACATATAAAGTGTAGGGCAACCAAACTGCTATCCTGATGGCTGTCATGCCGCCCGTCCCTTACACCCAAGTTTAGTCTCCTTTATTCAGTCTGTATTTATTCTGGTCTGCTCTAGGCTAAGCATAGATGAGTAAGGATGAATAAGAACCATATTAGACCAGATTCCCCACGGGGGTCCTTAACTGAATCACACACCCCTCCCCCAACTCCACCACCGCAGGGTCCGCCTGAGTAAGCGCCGAGCCAAGGCTGGGGTTCAGTCGGGTACCAATGCCCTGCTTGTGGTCAAACACCGGGACATGAATGAGAAGGAACTAGAAGCCCAGGTAACAAGCACCACTGACCCAGGGCACCCATGGGGAGGGTGGTGGTTCTTGAGGAGTGGGGCAGGAACCAGATAGAACACCCTCCCCTTCCCCTCAACCCTGCTGCTTCCAGGAGGCACGGAAGGCCCAGCTGGAGAACCACGAACCCGAGGAGGAGGAAGAGGAGGAAATGGAGACGGAAGAGAAAGAAGCTGGGGGCTCAGGTAAAGCTGGACGGGCCAAACTCTGGGAGCCCTGGGAGGGTGGGGAACTGGGTCTTACTGCTTCTTGCTCCTTCACAGATGAGGAACGAGAGAAGGGCAGCAGCAGTGAGAAGGAAGGCAGCGAGGATGAACGCTCAGGCAGTGAGAGTGAACGGGAGGAGGGTGACAGGGACGAGGCGAGTGACAAGAGTGGCAGCGGTGAGGATGAAAGCAGTGAGGATGAGGCCCGGGCTGCCAGGGACAAAGAGGAGATCTTCGGCAGTGATGCTGATTCGGAGGACGATGCTGACTCTGACGATGAGGACAGAGGACGGGCCCACGGCAGTGACAATGATTCAGACAGTGGCAGCGATGGGGGTGGCCAGCGGAGCCGGAGCGCCAGCCCCTTCCCCAGTGGCAGCGAGCACTCTGCTCAGGAGGATGGCAGTGAAGCCGCAGCTTCCGATTCCAGTGAAGCTGAAAGTGACAGTGACTGAGTCCCAGGGCCTTCAGGGCCGGTGCAGATGGTTATTCCGTGCAGGAAGGCACTTTTCAGATGGTCTCTTTGTGAGCCTTTTGCTTTGTTTCCCTCTCCTCCAAACCTCTGTTGTTAATAAAGCCAGCTTCTCTTTACTTACCCTCCAGGCACCATGGTCTCATTCTCCTGCCCCCCACCCCCACCCCCGCACCCCTGGTGCTTAAGGCACAGAAGCAAAGGCCACAAAGGCAGGGCCACTAGGTTTTTCATGAAATGTAGCATAACAAAGGTCAGAATCCTTTTTGTTTGTTTGTTTGTTTTTTTTTTCCAAAATAAGCCCAGACCATTAAACAAGTGAAACTCCAACAAATAAGTCTTCTCCAACAGCGAGAAAAACTGTACAGTTACTCAAAGCTGATTCTGCCGGTGGGGCTGGGAATAGAAGGGAGAGTGAAATCATGGTGGAGGGGCAGGGGCCGGGGAGGGTCGGGAGTGGATCAGGGTCCTGCCCGTCAGAGTGGGGCCGCCTGCGTCCTGCACACTCTGCTGACAGGTGGGGGGAGGGGGGCAACTCTTGCCTCCCACGGTGTATGGGGGTGTCCCTCACCGCCTCCCAGGGCCAGGAAGACCCAGCTCACCCTGATGGGTAGTGAACAAGACAGGACTGGCTGGGAAGAGGTGAGGGTCTCTAAGAGGAACACCCTGCTGATTCCAAAACGAGGTGGCCCCTGTCCATCCCACTTCCCCGGGCTCGGAGGGGATTGGAGAAGCCCTGGGAGTTGGAGGGGAATGAGCAAAGGCACAGAAACATGGAGGGGCCGGGGTGGGGGACTTGCATAGGTTGATGAGTGTGCAAGAGGTACATAAATAAACCTGACACCCTACCCAGCCCGGCACTGGGAGAGGAGGTGGGGACCTAGAGCAGGTCCCCAGGGCCACCCCACCCCCTGGCTTCCTCCCTCTCCCTGGGCTCAGAGTTGAGGGAGGTCCAGACCAGGAGAGCAGAGGCAAGAAGGTCTGGGGAATGGGTGAGTGCAGGGAGGGTGGTGGTTTTAAAATTTTTTTTTTTTGGTTTTTTTTTTTCCCAACATTTTGTATCTTTAATAACATACACAATGGTTACCAGCCATATTCATAACAAAAGTTATTCATAAAATGTATCTAAAAATAACATTTTTTCCTTTTCGGTGTGAAAAGCTTGAGAATGTCCCAATGGGGGGGGCCGGTTGAGGGGGATAAGGGGTTGGAATAGAGGACCCTGGCTTCCCTACAGCCTGAACCCCCAAATCCCCTCCCTCCACCTGGGCCCCAGCACAACCCCTCAGGAGGAACAGGGATCAGAGGGTCTGTATGACTCTGGGACTGGGACGAATCTCTGGCTTATGATATAGTGTTCCACTTAAGTGAGGTCATGACAGAATGGGGGGTGGGATAAGGGTGAAAGAAAAGGGGATGGGGGTGGGGAAAGAAACCAAAAACCATCCCCTTTCCCTTATTCCTTACCCCCAAGTCTTTCAGCAACCAGACCTGGGAGTGGAGAAGGGTTTGTTTCGGTGGGGGAAGGAGACGTTAAGGCAACAGACTTCCTGACCTCAATGGCTGCCCTGGCTCCCAGCCTTCAACCTCTGCATCTGGGGAGCCAGGGCTGGGGGCAAGTGGGGAAGGGCTAGAGGGGTCTGGAGGAGAGGGCTCTGCCCTCTCCCCTCGTAAAATTCAGGCTCCCCCTGCCACTTTCTTGGCTCAGAGAGAGGCCTGGGGATTCTAAAAATGAGAGGGAATGATCAGAGAGAAAAACTGTTAAGAACTATATAAATATGTATCTTAAATAGGCCTAAGAAATTAATTGCAGAGAACCTCTGATAAACAGGGCAAAAGGAGGTGAGTGAGAGGAGAGTGGCTCCTGTCCTTGGGGAATGATGGGAATGGGGAAGAAGGCGGCAAGGAGGGGAGGGGGGCGGGGGAGGGGAGGGAGAGAGAGAGAGAGAGAGAGAGAGAGCGCGCCAAGACAGACACGCTCCTCACCCGCCTTTATCTTCTCAGCTCCTCTCAAATAACATTCAGGAGAGCAGATTATCTACCTCACTCATCTCTCCCCAAATGTCAGATGGCTCTGAGCAGGCCCCACAATATAGTGGGTCAGTGAGTCTCTGGGGGAGACTGTTTCCTTGGGAGGGGCAGGTGGCCGGCAGTCTGGAGGAGGCAGGGGTGGGACGGGGCCAGGTGGGGGATGAAGGAGGGAAGGAGGGGGCAGGCAGGCTGGCTAGTCCCTGCCCCCTTTATCCTGGCTGCCCCCTACCTCCCTGGGCCTCAGCAGAGATCCCTCGACGGGCCTGGGAGTGAGCAAGGCGTGTGCCAATGTTAAACAAAAGTTAAAAGGGTGAGAGAGTAGAAAAATATTAGAATGTATAGCTGAGCCAGCCCACCCTCTCGCTGTCGCGGAGAAGCCCGTTGGGGGTTGGCCCCCGCCCGCCGCCCGGGGAGCCTATGGGTGCGCTGGGCTGTGGGTCCCGTCAGATGGTGGAGGTTTTGTCTGTCCCATCTGTGGTAAGAAAGGGAGGAAGGGAGGAAGGTCAGGAGCTGGCGGGAGGCCCAAGAAAAGGTGCTCAGGTAGCCTGTCATCCCAGTCGGGCCCTCCCTGGAGTCCGGCCTCCCCTGGGGACCCCTCAGGATGACTCTGAGTTGCTCAGTTCAGAGGTGGAGACGCTGGTGGGTAGGTGGGAGCTGGGTCAGGGAAAGAGGAAATGCTCACCACCCAAGGCGTGTTCTGTCATGCTCAGACACAGAGACTCCAGAGTGGGATTGATCTCCAGGTCAGGCCCAGGGACCGGGCAGTCTGGGTGGGAGACAGGAGAATGGAAGCAGTAAGAACTGGACTGGGGTGAAAGGTAGAGTCATGAAGACAAAGGCTGGCATGAGGCAGAGGCTGAGGGGGACGAGAGGGAAAGGGAAGAAGGGAAAGTAAAGGCAAGAGACAGAGACACAGAGAATGTAAGACACGCACACACTTGGATGGAAGGTATGACTGGGCGGAGTTGAAGGACAGGCCTGGGAGTGCCACTAAGCAGGCAGAGGTGATGATGGCAAGGGCAGAGGCTTGGCAACACAGAGAAAGGCCGACAGGAAGTAATGTAAAGCTGGGGGAGCTGCTTGGAGGCCACGACTATTTTGGACACACTACACGTTCCCTTGGGCACAGTGAGGGCATCTGCCCTGAGCACTGGGCAGCCCCGTGCTCCCTGACTGATGACTTGCTCTGTACTTGGTGTGGAAGCTTAATTAGAGCCGTTCCCTCCCACTTGGACTTGCTCCTCTGTCAGGATGCTGTTGGGGAAGGCCTAGCAGGCACGGCAAATCTGGACAGCAGCCATGGGGGCTGGTCTTCATACAGTCTCTCAAAGGGCCTCCTGTTCTGGAACCTGGGCAAGAGCCCACCAGGTCCCTGGGCAGACCTGACACCACCCACTGCTTAAAACCCTTCCTGGGCTCCTCACTGCTTCCAGAGGAACTCTAAGCTTTCTACCTAGGTTTAGAAGACCCTGCTCTTTCGTGCTCCAGCCTCACCTCTCACGACCTCCCTTCTGAACCCATGAGCCATGTCAGACCATCTAACTGTCTCTCCTTAATAAAAAAAATTTTTGACCTTGGGCAAATCACCTCTCTGAGACTCAGATTCATGACTAATAAGATGAAAATAATATCAGTGCCTTCACATGTGCAGTTGGGAGGATTTCATTCAACAGTGCAGAAAAGCTGTCTGACACACAGTCTAGCACACGGCATACTGGTGAAAAGAACTGTTCTCATTTTTTACTCCTGTAATTCATCCACCCAGTCATTTACTATCATTTACAGATGCCTACCATGTGCCAAGCCCTGTGCTAGGATGAATGGGACAAATGGGGTCTCCTGCCTCCCACAGATGGCAGTTCGCATAATCTCATAAAGAATCCCTATTGATTTGGCTATTTGTGACATGAGTTTAGGGTCACAGGCAAATCTAAGCTCTCTCTAGAGGCAGCCCTTTCCAAACCAGCCTTATCTGCTTCTGCAGCCTCAGTGCCCAGCAGCAGGCTTGGCATAGGGAGTCACCCCTGACTTACTGAGCAAGGCAGGGCTAGCGCTTCTCTAACCTCCCTTTTGCCCACTTTGCCCTCATTCTAATCTCCCATCTCTAGGCTGATCTGTGAGCAGAGGGGAAGACAGACCTTCCACCCTTTAGTGTAGAACCCATTCCAAGAGCTGAAGTCTACTGGTTCCTGCTTGGTCACCTGGCTCCTGAAAGAATGCCAGTGGACTGATAGGCAGGACTCCCTTCTATAGACACCTGGCTGCTGGGACTGTCTCATCCCCTCCACCCTTCCAAACTGAGTACTTAATGATTCTAGAAGAAGACGGGGACAGAGACCAGTATGAACACTAAGATTATGACACAGGGAGGGAGAGAGATAGAGATGGGGGGTGGGTGGGAATGAGGAGTGAGAGAAGATGACAGGGAGGGGGAGAAAGACAGAAAGACAGAGGGACAGAACACATGCAAGGGATAGTGTGTACAAGACCCAGAAGAGAAAAGAAAGGCCAGCTAAGGGTGCTGTTGAGGCCGAGTCGTAAGGGTGGGCACTGTACCTGGAGGGAACATGAGAATAGCCTGGGGGGACGAGTGGACCGGGAGCGAGTGGGTCCGCTGCACAGAGCTGCGGCTCTGGCTGGGCATGCTGTTGCTGCCTCCAGGGTTGGCGAACCACAGGTTCTGCATGTGGCATGGGAGAGAGAAAGCAGTGGGTGAGCGGGGAAGAGGCCCAGACCCAGAAGTGGTGGAGCTGGCAGAGTCGTCCCCTCCCCTCTACGCTGGGCCCAGACACAGAGATATGGACACATATATCAGGCACCACCACCCCAACCCCAGAAGTGCCAGGTCCTTTGCTTCCAGCTGGCTCACCTGTCGGCCCTGGCCCCCAAGGCTGGGGCTGGTGAGGGCATGTCGAGGGGAGATGCCCCCAATGCCCGAGGGGCTCAGAAGGCCCATTCTGCCAGGCGGAAGGGCCCGGGGAGGCATTGGGAACTGCCGCTGGGTCCGCCGGGCCACCCCCATCCCCACAGAGCCAGCTATGGGGAGTGAGTTGGAGCCGAATGCCCAGCTGTGAGAGAGAAGGCAGGGTGTCAGTTTAGGTGGATGGGGCCCATCTGTTCACCTCTTCCTCACCGCCCCCCGCCCCCGGCAGCCCCCATGGATAGACAGAACACAGATCTGCTCTGAGCAGGGATTCCCTGTGCAAGGCCCTGCTCTGTACATCGTCTCCTCCTGCCCCAAGGGTAATCCCAGGATGGAGACGGGGAGTGTACGAAGGTTTCCTCAAGTCCACTCAAAGTAGTTCTCCTAACTTCAATTCTCAAGCACAATATTTCTGCTGTTTGTTTGGAGTGAGAAGGGACTTCAGAGTCCTCTGCACACAGGTGAGGAGAACAAGGGACAGGCGAGGGGCCAGCTATGGGGACATGTGCTGGTTTTGCCAGCGCAGCACTCTATTCTAATGGAAAATCAGGGACCACCTGATTTTCTTATGGCAAAGTCCTCACTGGGTGACTTGTATAAAGACACCCAGTTACTGAATGAGTATAACAGGATTCCCAGCCCAGAATGCAATCACCCCTCTAGGCACTATCTGTCAACCAATGAAGGCCTAGGGAGGGAAGTCCCTGTGCCCTGGCTGCCCGCCTACCCTTTCTGCTGCCGGTAGTTCTGCATCTCTAGTGCGGCTTTGCGCGGGAAGGTCCGGAGGAGCTTCAGCACTTGCTGTTTCCAGGACAGCAGCCGTTTCTTCTGCGTTTCCGTGAAAGCCTAGAATTAGGGGGGTGAAAGGGGTGTGTGTGCTTCTTTCACATTTGCCTTCCATCCATTTGCTCAGATATTTATCAACTGCCTGTGCTGGTCAAAGCTGGGACACAGAGGTGACCTGTGCTCACGGAGCTTACAGTTTAGTTGGGGAGAAGATACACACGCATTCATAAGTGATAAATGCTGTGAGGGAGAAGCACAGGAGGCACAAGAAACCTGATGTTATGAGGGGCTGGTCAAGGCATCCCTGAGATACAGACGTATCAACTGAGATCTGAGGGGCCAGCAGACGGGAGGGGGACTTACTCCCCAGAGGATTATGTACTAAGGCTCTAAGAATGAGCGCTCAGGGGCATCCACTGAACCCAACACTGGGAAGGATGAGGGCTGGAGAGGTGGGCACGTGCCAGTCAGGCAGGGCCCTATTGGTTATATAAGGAATGTTGGTCCTGAGAGTGATGGGGCAGCCTTTCCCTTCTTGGGACCCCTAGAGAAGGCCTCACCTCATGAGTCAGGCACTTTTCGATGAGCTGGAGGTAACTGGTGATGTTCTCCTCGTCTGGTCGGGACACCAGCAGCTGGGTGCACACTTGGGGACATGGGAGAGGGCAGGAGGTTAGCTACCAGCATGCCCTCTGCCATGTTCCAGCTTCCCTGGCCCAGCTGGGTGGCACAGAAGGTGGGTCAGGAAACTCGTGCTGGATGAGTACTAGCTATGTGCCAAGCACTGTACCTGGCTTATCACGAGGATATATAAAGTGCCCAGCATAGTGCCTGGCATAAAGCAGATGTGAAGTAAATGATACCTTTTCTCCTTTTTAAGTCTTGCAACAGTCTCATCAATGTAGGCAACTTTAGCCTGAGGCTCAGAGAGGTTGAGTCACTTGTCCCAGGCCACTCAGCTAAAAGAACTTGCACCTGGGACTTCCCTGGTGGTGCAGTAGTTAAGAACCCGCCTGCCAATGCAGGGGACACGGGTTCGAGCCCTGGTCCGGGAAAATCCCACAGGCCGCGGAGCAACTAAGCCCGTGAGCCACAACTACCGAGCCTGCGCTCTAGAGCCCACGCGCCACAACTACTGGAGCCCGCGCACCTAGAGCCCGTGCTCTGCAACAAGAGAAGCCACTGTAACGAGAAGCCCGCGCACTGAAATGGAAGAGTAGCTGCCGCTCGCCACAACTAGAGAAAGCCCGTGCACAGCAATGAAGACCCAATGCAGCCAAAAGTAAATAAATAATAAATTTATATATAAAAAAAACAAACTTATTAAAAAAAAAGAAACAACTTAACCCCAAGTGTAAAGTTGCCTACACTGTGCTGCCTTAGGAAAAGGCTTCACCATTAAGAGCTTCACCACACCCATCCCGTGGACTTCAGTCCCCTCTGAAAGAGCCGACGGATTCGCCTTATCTCTTCACTCCTTACTGTATGCAGTTTCCACTGACACAACGTCCCATCTTCTGCTCAGGCTGGAGACACTTTGAGGGTAAGGACTGTCTCCCACCGTCAGCCTGGATGCACCCGAGGGCAGGGGCCCTGTCATCTCAGTCTTAGCCACTCTCTGTAGTGCTCTAATCCCCAGAGTGCTTTGAAAAGTTTTGCTTCCATCATTTAAACTGGATTTGACCTTTGATGCCTGGGTTCACTTGGCACCCTGCCCCAGAATTTCCTACTGGGCCCTGGGTGGTCTCACCTTTGCCCATCACCCGTGTAAACTGACTGGGGATGTCTCCATCAGCGACGGGAGCCGGGGCTGGCTCACTGCCATCAGTGGGAGCTGGAGCTGGTGGAGGGGGGTAGCCCTCTGCAGCTGGAGGGTCCTTGGCCTCACTGCCCTTGTCTGTGCCAGGGTGAGCCAGGGGAGGCTCCGCACCTGGCAGCGGCGGCTCCCCCCGGCCCCCGTCCTTGGCAGTAGAGGTGGTGGCGGTGGCGGCAGCCACAGTGGCCTGAAGGACACTGTAGGCCTTGATGGGGGTGATGATGATCTGCTGCAGCTCCTGCAGAGCGTTTCGCAGATTCCCGCCTTCCAGCACATCCTGAGTGGGGAAGACACAGCCTGGGTCACATGCCAACCCCCAGAGCTACGTAGAATGACTATACATGTGGGGTCAAACAGTCCTTGCAGAGAGCTGGTGGGACCCTGGGTTCCAGCACACAGAGAAGGCAGGTAAGGGCACTGCCAGAGCATACACACACACACATGCACACACACATTTGTACATACACAGTCCCTGTTCCCCCCTCAAGGTAGAGTCCCACGGAGTTTAGAAAGTGGGGCCTCAGGGTCCCACCGAGGATGGAACCAGATTCAGACCCAGAGATCTGGACTAAGACACTGAAGGGGGCAAAAACCAGAAGGTAAGTGGCAGGGAAAGGGAAAAAGGGATGCAAATCAAGGCAGATGTGTAAGGAGAGTGAGCGGATAAGAAACAACCAACTGGAAAGAGAGATCATGCACACAGGGGAGACACTCTGCTCTATCAGAAAGAGCTGTTAGAAATGGAAAAGTGAAATGGAAGAGAGGGGCTGAGTCAACAAACAAGATTCTGGAGACACAGGCCAGGACAGACAGGGAGGAGAGCCTCTTAGCTTAGCCACAGCAAGTGAACCCTGTGAGCCGACCTGCACTTGGTCCTTGGACCCTGGTTCCCTAGGGTTGCGGAGGTTCCGAGGTGGGGGCCACATGGGCAACAAGGCTGACCCAGAGACTTCAGCCACTAGCACCACTGGGTAGCCAGTTGGCCTTGGATGGGGATAGCAGGTCCTCACCTTCTCCAGGGATTTGAGGACACTCTGCCTCTCGCGCAGCTTCTGGATGCTCAGGGCTATCTTGTGGCGGGCACCTTTGGTGACATTCTGCGGTAGGACAGAAGGGGAGAGGAAGCTGGAAATGGGAGGCTGAGGTACCCAACAAGGCCCAAAGAGACAGAGGAGGCTTGGGCTGCAAGGGTAATGTCAAAATGGTACTGCCCCCAACCCCGCCCTGATGGTCCCCTCAGCTTTACCTGAGACTCCAAGTGCTGCTCAGTCAGTGTCATCATCTCCTCATAGCTCATCTGTGAGAAGAGGGCCGCGTACTTGTGCAAGCGGAGGCTCTTAAGCCACGAGGGCACATCTGTGGAAAAGAAGGGAGGGCCTGAGATAAGGAATCTGGCCCTGGTGACAGATGTGGGGAAGGACCAGGCATGAATCATAGGCAGCCTTAAAGGCTGTAGAAAATTGGAAGGAGGTAGGGAGGAGCCAAGGGTCCATAAGCTACCTTCTTCTGTCCAGCCAGACCCTTCCAGGTGGCCTTCCCTGGTCAGAACACCCGATCCTCCTGAGTTGCTGGTTTGGATGTGTACTAGGATGACCTCTGATGTCTTTAAAAGTATTCCTGGAACCTCTATTCCATCAGTTACCTCTGTGTCCTGGCTTTCTTGTCAGGCTGGTGTGCCTGAGGGCAGGGGCTTTTCCCCCATCAGACTGGGACCTGTGGGGGTCCCTCTGCCCAGTCTTAAGCCCTAAGGGCAGGGCCTGTCCACTCTCCTCAGACCTGTCCCCTTCTCGGGGATGGAGGGGGGGGAGAGGAAGAATTGGGTGGGGAGGGACAGGACAGGTACCCCACCTGTCCTCCAAGCCTCTGGACTCCTAGAAGATGTCACCCTCTGGGCCCTGGGAGGGGCTGGGTAACCACCCCGGCAGCTACAAGCTCTCTTCTGTCCTTGTAAGTTCTGCGGAAGCCTCTTGAGGAGGGTCCTAGTGTTACTCTCCCACATTGTACCTTTCATGCCACTGCCGTCCTCCTGAAAAGTGTTCCGGCTGGAGCCCTGCTCCTCCGTCTGCTCGCTGCCAGAGGAGGCCACGCTGCTCTGGGGCGAGAGGGGTGCGTGGTCGGGCGTGGTGAAAGCAGCCCGGGCCCCAAGCTCCTCTGGACTCGGCCACTCACCAGGGGCCTGGGGGCTCGTGGGGATGAGCGACATGGAGCGCTTCAGCGGGCTGGGGTGGATTTGGCAGGGGAGACCTGGCCGGAGGGGGAGAGAGGCAAGAGGTCAGGCTTGGGGATCTGACCACAGGAGACCGTGTCCCCCTGGTCAGTGCCATGGACGGCAGCTCAGCCCTGGAATTCAACAAGAGGAAGGGACTCTGGGGTCTGAGGGGAACCACCTACCAGGTACTGCTGGTTCCCTCACTCCTCCACCCCCCAATCCATCAGCAAGCTCTCAGCCACTTCTCTGAACCGCTCCACTTCCTCTGCTAGCACCCTGGGCCAAGTCACTGGCGTCCCTAGCTGGAATTACTGTCACAACCTCCTCACCGGTTTCTTGCCTTCATCCTTGCCCCCTACAGTCTAATCAACTCACAACAGCCACACTGATCCTTCTTAAAAATGCAAATCTGACCCAGTCAGTCCCCGATTAAATCTTACCTGTAGCTTCCCTTCGCACTGAGAATAAAATTCAAACTCTTCCCCCGACACCTACAAGGCCCTGCAGGATCTGGGCCCTGCTCACCTCTGACTTCTCATCTCTCATGACTCACCCCTTTGGTTCAAGCCCTTCTAGCCTTTGCCGCACACCCGCCCCAATCTGTTCCTGGAACACTCAGGCTTGTTCCAGCCTCAGGACTTCTGTGCTTGCTCGCTCTTCTTGTTCTCCTGATCTTAGCAGTTGGCTCCCCCAGGTCTCATCTCAAACAATCACCTCTTCTGAGGCTTTCCCTGAACCCTCAGTCAGCAGTAGCTGTCCCCCACCAACCCCCTATCATATCACTCTGCCTTATCTTTTTTTTTTTTTGCGGTACTCGGGCCTCTCACTGTTGTGGCCTCTCCCGTTGTGGAGCACAAGCTCCGGACGCGCAGGCTCCGCGGCATGTGGGATCCTCCCGGACCGGGGCACGAGCCTGTGTCCCCTGCATCGGCAGGCGGACTCTCAACCACTGCGCCACCAGGGAAGCCCCGCTGCCTTATCTTTCTTACAGCACGTATCACAGCTTGAAATGACCTTATCTAGTTATTTGTTCACTTGCTTATTAACTGTACGCCCCTCCTACAAGACCTGTGACAGCAGGGCCCTGTCCTGTCTTAAACATCATTGTATCCTCAGTAATTACAATGAGGCCTCGACTAGAGGAGGTTCTTCACAACTACTTGCAAAGTAAGTGAATGAAGTACATAAACTGCTTCCTCAACATCTCTGTTATTGGGCTTCACCACCTCCCAAAGATTTTTCCTATACTGAGCCCAAATCAGGGTGAATCCAGGCCCTCATCCACAGGATGTTTCACATCCTCCATCCATCCCATTCCTGAGGTAAGAAAAAGGATCCAACTTGATTTTTAACCATTCTAAGGACAGGGCAGGTTCCCATGAGCTTCCAGACCTTTACAAGTGCTATTCCCTCCCCCTAGCTCACCGCTCGTCCACCCTTATCTGCCAGCCACTTCAGCCTTGACTCCTGGCTCAAGCGTTCCCTCTTCTGTGACTCCTTCCTCTGCGTTCCCTGGGCCCCTGTGCTACCTCAAGTCCAGCACTTACTGCCCCCTTCACTAGCCTGCCTCACACTGGACTCTGGGCTTCTGTAGGATGGCTGCAAGCCTGCTCCATCATTTCTGTACCTCCAGGTCAGGGCAAGATACACAGGAACTTTCAAAGTTTCACTAAGTCCAAAAGGAGGGCACCCACCATCCTAAGGGTGCTAAGGGGGCCTCTGAGCTTGACACAGGAAATCTAGAAGTATCTCAAGTCAAAAAAAGAAAAGGAAACAAAGCCAAAAAGCCTCACCCTGGGTAGGTGAGAACATCAAGGCCTGGGGAACTGAAGTCCTTTGTCCCAGTTCCCACAAAGAGTTGGGAGGCAGAGACAGAAGAACCCCAGCCTTGTTTCTGATGGAAAGGCTGGGATTCCTGCCAGTGCTACACTGACACCCAGCCTCAGAAGGACAACCAGCCTGGTACAGGTCCCCAAAGCACCTTCCCTCATCTGTGACAGTTATCTATGATCCTAGCCAGGAAGTCACCTGAGGGAGAGGGCAGTGCATTGATCCCACCCACTAAGGCTAGCCTCCTCCCCCTATCTGTGACTTCTGGGGTTCTCTGCAAGGGGCTCCTCCAAGCCTCTGGACTCCTAGAAGATGTCACCCTCTGGGCCCTGGGAGGGGCTGGGTAACCTTTAACACAGGCCTTTTTTTTTTGCCTGTCTTGGTGTTCCTGGCTTCCTCCTTCCTCCCTTCTCAACCAAGAAGCGGGAAGGCGAGGCTGAGAGGGCTGGAAATTATCCTGATTGGAACGATTGTGCAGTTCCTGAGGAGCCCTTTCTGGACCCACACTGGGGTGGAGGCTGGCCACAGCATGAGAACCATAAAAACAGGAATGCCGGCCAGACATCCAGGGCCTCACACTCTCCAAGAAGCCCTGGCCTGTCCTTGGCAGCACCCCAAACCCACCCTGCCTGCCCTTACAGGCCAATCCTTGCTCCCCACTCAAAAATAGTTTAATGGCTTCCTGTTTCCTGCAACTGCTTGAAATTGAAATTGAAAAGCTTCATCCTAGCCTTCAAGTCCCCCTCTGAATGTGGCCCTAACATACTGAGATCTGAGAGTCAAGACAGACCTGTGTACAAATTCTGGCTCTGCCATCTATTAACTTCATGATCCTGAGCAAGTCACTTCATCTTCCCCCTCTGTCTCCACTTCCATGTGAAGTCTCTGGCACAGGGTAAACATGAATATTTGCTACTGCTATTACTCATTTAAATCCTCGCACTTCTCCATCCTAGCCAGACATGTCTGCATACTGTCCCCTCCAATCTGACACCCCTATACCTTCAATTCATGCTGTGCCCTATACCTGGAATGCCCATTTCCTCTTCTGGTTCAAATCCCCTATTTAACATTGTTCCAGCTTGGTCCTCTAAAGCTGCTGTCCCCATCGTGGGGAGGAAGGACTGTATGGGCACCCTGCATGGGTGACCCCTCCCCTTGATAAGCATCTTCGGGAGGGTCACTTTTAGGTGGGGGCAGTGTAGCACAGTAACAAAGAATATAAGCTGAGGAGCCAGACTGCCTCGATTGAAATTCTGGCTACACCACCTTGGGCAAGTGACTCCTCTGTGCCTCAGCCAATGAATTTATAAGTATAAACTTCTCAGAACAGCTCTTGGCAAAGACTAAACGCTGAATATATTTTAGCTAGAATTATGATTATTAATATACCCTCCCAACATGGACCCAGAAACTGTCATGCTCTGAGACTAGAAAACAAGGTCCAAGACACCTTGGGTTGCTAGAGTTCCCAGAAGTACCCTTCTACCCCTCTATCTTCCCTGATTCTTGCCAGCATCTTGGAAGGAGGCAGGTGACCAGGATATCCATATTCAGCTGGGGAAGAAAGAGGCTCAGGGGTAACTGATATGTAACAGGTGCCACACAGCTGGGCAATGAAGACCCAGGGTTCACCCCACCCACTGGCACAGGTAACATTTCACTGCCACCCACTCCTGGCCTGCTTTAACCAGTGCCTGCAAAAAGGGGCCGGCCACCTTGAGGTTAAATTTGGAAACTTCTTGCTTTAAGTCAGGTCCTGTCACCTCATCAATCCTTGGAAACGCCATTCTCCCTTATACTGTTCAACTAATATTTCAAAAACTCACTGGAATACCAGCTCCTCCCGCTGACCCCAGCCTCTGCGGGTGCCTGCTAAGAGGCCACTTAGTTGAAGGATGGCACAGTGGTCAGATGCAAGCTCTGGTATCAGATTGCCTGGGTCTAAACCCTGGCCAGTTCCACCACTTGTTCTGTGACCTTGAATACAAGACTTCGGCTCTTTGAGTCTCAGTGCCTTCATCTGCAGAATGGGGCTAATAATATTGTTGTGATGAGGATTAAACGAGATCATGCCTGAAAAGTGCCTATAAAAGAGTACCTAGCACAGTCAATGCTCAACAATGTTACCTACTATTACTAATGCCTTGCAGCATGAGTTACACCTAATATGAACAGGCTTACAAACATACATTTCTCAGAAATGAGTCTGTAGGCTGCAGCCAGATACAAAAATCCAGAATGTCTGGGCTGGAAGGGACCTCAAATTATGATGGTCTATAACTGAAGTCAGGCAGTTATCACACATGCCCAAAGTGGGATGGTAGGGGCAGAGGCCGACTGGGACACATGTGCAGGGTCAGAAGGCGGTGACCAATATTCAACTCCATCTTACGGTTGCCACCAGGAATACAGGCCTTGAGTTGCCAGATCTTTTGACTTTTCAAGAGAAGCTGAAAATCCAGATTTTTAGGAGAAAATTCCCAATTCCTTACAACACCAAATTTATTTAAAAACATAACAAAACAAAAACCAAAGTTTTGTTGAGTTTGAGCTCAATAAAACATGTCTGCAGGTCAGAAATGGCTCTGGGAATGCCAGTTCACAACCTCTGCACTGTCTCATAAAGCTGAGGCCCAGAGAGGTTATGTGACTTGCCCAGGGACACAGAGCGAGTGAAGAGAGAGCCCGGTCCGACCCTTTTCAAGTAGGCATGGCCTCCCGGACTCCCACCTCCTCACCTGCGTTTGCGTTGCTCCCAATACTGTTGATGGCTGGCGGCACTGAGCTGGGTGGGTGGAAGGGCACGTGTCCATTTTCCCGGGGTGGCTTGTCCTGCCAGCCTGGTCCTGCCTCCCCAGGGCCCAGCTCTGCAGGGCCACCCCACTCATCCGAGCCCTGGCGTGAGTGGTAGGTGGGCTCAGGCCGGGTGCGGAAGCCGCTAGCTAGCCGCTCTTCCAAGTGACTCAGCCAGAGGGCCAGCGCATTGCGGTCCTCCAGAGTGGTGGCCGGGTGGATGAGGGCATAGGAGAGCAGCTGGCGGCTCTCCTCGATGAAGGCATTGCTCTCAATCGAGTAGGCCAGCACTTTCTGCAGCAGCCTCATGTACTCCGACTTGGCCTCTGTGTTGCCTGGCTGAAGCAGGGGTAGGTGGGACAGCAGGAGGGACACCACCTTCTCTTTGGACTCCTGCTGCCACTGGCTGACGATGGCTGCAGAGGGGACAAGAGGGAATGTCAGGGGAGCCAGGGTGGGGGACTCCCATAAAACCAGGAGAGGTGCCTATAGCCTGCTCCCTCAGCTCCAATCTCATTTCCCTTCTCCTTTCATGACTCCGACATTGTCCCTCATACAGGTGATATCTAACACACTCAGCCTGCTTCCAGAGTAATTTTTTTTCTGGTTCCATCACTCCCACTCTCAGAAACCTGCTATGACTCCTAATAAGCCAAACTTGCTACTCTGGAATCTGAGCCCCTCCTGCTGCCCCCAGGCCTGCTCTTCTTGCTGTATCCCCACTCTTTATCTTCATGGCCTGTACCTGCTTTCCCCTGACTATCAAAACACCCTCTTTCCTGACTTGGAGGACAATGGAATACAGTGGTTAAAAGCTTGCGCTCAGGAATTCCCTGGCAGTCCAGTGGTTAGGACTCCGCACTTCCACTGCGGGGGGCACAGGTTCAATCCCTGGTCTGGAAACTAAGATCCCACATGCCATATGGCTCGGCCAAACAAAACAAAAAAACCTGGAATCAGATGGTCTGGACTCCCCAACTCACTAGCTGGACCTCTGTCGCTTGAACCTCACAGAGCACTGATTTCCTCACCTGAAAAATTCTGAAGATAATTACAGTACCCAATTCACAGTGTCGCTCTGAGATTCAAGAAGCTAAGAAAGAATGGGAAGTGGCCTGGCATACAGAACATAGTTAATAAATGCTTACTGTTGCTTTTTAAACTGGACTCAGCCTCTAGATTCTCCCCTTCCAATTCATCCCATACACCCAGATGGAGTGATCTTCCTAAAGCACACCAGGATATCATGTTCCTGACCAGGAGCTTATGATGGCAACCAGCACCAATGGACTCAAGTTCAAGAGCTCCTAGCCCAACATCACCTTCATTTCCAGGGCACTCCCCCACCTCCTATTCCTCCAGATAAAAACTTGGTTTAGGATATCCCCATCCTCCCTGGGGCTCTCTCCATGCCATATTCATCCAAGCTTCCATACTCAGGCTGAGATTCAACGCTTTAGTCTGCGACAGTCTCCTTCCTCCTATCCAAATTCTACTTCTTTTAGGGATTGCCTACACCTGCCCTTCTCCAGGAAGCCTTCTGTGGCTACTCCACGCCCTGGTGATCTGGTGATGTCTCCTTCCCATCCCATCGTCTGAGGGCCTGTCTGTCCTGTGAAGATGAGTGAGGCTTCCTCTCTCTACCCAGAAGTGAGCTCCCCAAGAATAAGGCCCCAAGCTAGCCACATAAAGGAGGCCTCGGTACTCCCTGGTGGTCCAGTGGGTAAAACTCCATGCTCCCAATGCAGGGGGCCTGGGTTCGATCCCTGGTCAGGGAACTAGATCCCACATGCATGCCGCAACTAAGGGCCTGGATGCTGCAACTAAAGGTTCCTCATGCCGCAACTAAGACCCGACACAGCATGAATGAATGAATGAATAAATAAATAAATATTTAAAAAAAAAAGGAGGTCTCAGGAAGGAACTGTTACAGGACTGACTGTCCTCCTTGAAAACCTTGTTACCACTTCCATGACTAGCTCAATGGAGTGGAGGATGGCAGGTAATGCTGATGGGGCAAGGGAAAGGGACAAAGTATACCAATACTTGAGAAAAGAAACAATGATCAAAAACTGGGACCAACTCTGCCCTCACTCTTGGGCAAATGAGCTCATATCTATAGCCACCGTAATGATTTTCAAACACCTAACAAGGAAGTTCTGAGAGTTGAGTTACTGGGATATTGGTGAGGTCTTGGAAAGGGACAAAGGAGCTGGTTCTAACCGAACAGAGCTAGGACCCCAGAGGGGTGGGTGATGAAAAAGAACAGGCAGTGATGTGGCTTATGTCCCTCCTCTCCTACTTACTGATGTAAATGTGATCACTTCACTGAGCTCTACTTTCTCTATCCGTAAAGTGGGGCTCACAATCATTCCTACCTGGCATGGTTGCTATGAATTGAGGCCAAAGCACAAAGGAAGGCACAAAGTAAGTCCTCAGTAAACATCAGCTGTCATTTCTAACACCATGGTTATTATATCTTACAGGGGCTCCTTCCTTTTGAATACCCACAGAGATTCTCAAGGCATAAGCCAACTCCCGGACAAGGAAACAGAGAGGCTGGGAATGGGCATGTATAGAAGGAGGGCCTCAGAATTCTAGCCATCTGGATTTCAAGTGAGCCCTGATCTGGATCCCTCTGTCTCTGATGGTGTCTCAACCCAATTTCCTTAAGGCTTAATATTCCAAGGACCTCTGGTCTCCTTTGGCCACACTACTGATCAGACACCTGGCCACTGGAAGCCTTGCATTAAAACCTGAGAAATACCTTTTTCACGCATTTCTTTCCCTTAATGACCTGTCTGGAAATTTATGGCTTGGGAATTCACATAACTAATTCTTACATCTGTAGCTCTAAGAAAATGAAACACATACACCTCTCAACTCCTGGCCATATAAGTGCACATTTTCTTGCCTGGGCCTCTCTGACCCAAGCTTCCTAGAGAACCCCTGTTAAAGTGTTCAAGGGTTCATCCATTTATTCAGAGCCATGTTATGCCCACAGTACTGGCCAAAACAGAACGAAGAGTAATACTACACAATAATAGTAATAATGGATATTTACTGACCATTTACTCTGAGCCAGACACATGCTAAGAACATGACCGTCTTTCATCCTCACCTCAACCCTTGTTTTAGCACGCCCATCTTGTAGATGAGAAAATACATTTGGGAAGGTGATGTCCAAGGTGACAGAGCCAAGATCTGAACCCAGGTCCCTCTGCCTCGAAAACTGGGAGGAACTTTTACCCACAACCCTCTACTATCTCTCCAATGCCGCCTATCTTCTTCTTCCCCCTGTCCCTGGCTTTCAAGATCCCGTTCAGGACCTGCCACACAAGGCTAGGAAACCTCATCCCCTCCATCCATCTTCTCCTGATCTAGCTCCCCATGACCATGAAGCTATCTCTTAGGTCAGCTCCATATCTAAAGATCTTTCCAAGGTGGGATAAGCCTTCCTGACTTCAGGGAGTCTTCACCTTTTGAGTTCTCCCACCTCCATCTGGCACTGGATCACATGGGAAGGACCTCCCTGGTACTCCATTTTCCTGACTTAGTCCCTGAGTTTTTAGCTTTTGATGAGAAGGAAGAAGAAATATAGTGACTGAAGATTAGGGACAGAAAGTTAAGGACTTGCGTCCCAGGTGTGGTATAGTTGCCTGGGCAATATGTCTCCTCCTCTGTAAAAGAGGGATTACAGGGCTGCTGAGAGGATTTAGGGAGACAATGAATATAAAGCACCTGACAGAGTCTGCCCATAGTAAGCACTCAGTATGTGACTCAATGATTGGTGTTTTTCTCCCTTCTCCTCCAGCAGAGTTGGCCTACCCCTTTAGCCCTACCCTGATGCTCTCAATCGCTGTTGTTCAGGCCTTGCAGGGTAGGCAGAGGCATCTGGGACAGAGAGAAGCCTTGTCTAGTCCCTCCCCCACCCCAGAGTACTGCCAGGGCTAAGGGACACAGCTTCTCCTCTGGTACTGCCAGGGGACATGACAGAAGAGCCCCAAGGGTTGGGCTCAATGAAGGACCTTGTTCTACTGCAGTGAAAGGGGAGAGCGGTTTTGGAAGAATGGAGGCTGACCCTAGGGAAATGTGTGTTCATGTGTCTGTACAGCGGTGAACTGGGAAGGGTGGGCCTCCCATGACTGGAAAGCATCAGAGAGAACTGGAACTGGCCCAAGGAATCTGCACAGCCTCAGGCCCCTTGGGGTGAGCCCAGCAGGGGCTGCAGATGATGGGGAGGGCTGGAACTTCTAGTTTCCCGCCCAGGGCAGAAAAGTCTGGCCCAGAGTTGAGGCACAGCAGAGGCCCAATGAATACCTGCACAGCTGAACCCTGGTGGTCCCCTGGAAGGTAGTGGCGTCTTTGTGTGTATAATGTGCCCTGTCTAGGATCCCTTGACCTCAGGTCTCTCTGTCTCATGACCTAGAAGAGTATACTGAGTAAAGAGTACAAGTTCAACTGGCAAACTTGCCTGGATTCGAAATCTAGCTCTGCCTCTAAGACGTAGGTCAACATAACTGTGGGCCAGTCCTTTAAACCTCTCTGAGCCTTGGTTTCCTCTTCTGTACAATGGGGGTAGTTAAAAGCCCCTACATCACAGGGTTATTGTAAAGATTCAATGAGACAGTCGGGCAAAGCACCTGATCTGTGTTAAGTGCTCCATGCATTTCAACTATTATTGTCATTGCTGATGGTTGAAGATCTAAAGCCTACGCTATTTCGGGGCTGGAGGGAGCAATTCACACAGGAGGGCACATCTGGTCTCCCCCTTCAGATTCCCCACAGGGGTGGGGAATTTCATGCAGTTATTTACCAAAAACAGACACGTCTCTGGTTCCTCTGAGCTAGAGGCACAACAAGCAATGATGAAATTCTGGAGGTGGGTGGATGGGGGAGGGGACTGGGGAATGCTGTGATGTCAATGACTGCTGCTCACCAAGCTGCAAACCTGGACTCCAGAGAGGATGAGGGAGACTGCATATGAGTGCTCTCCTTGGCCAGGTGACCAGAGCTAAGTAGGTCATGACCCTGGTTGCTGGCAAATCACAGGCGCCAAATATATCTTGGAGACTGCCGTAAGAGCAAATCCATTTTTACATGCTGGGCTGTTGTAACAATCGTGGCAGCCTGAGGCACCAGCCAGAGGGGATGCGTTTTGGCTCCAAACATGCCCCTCTATGCTTCATCCCATCTCACACAAACATAGGGGAGGGCAAGGGGGTTCACATTTTTGTTTGATGAACTGTGTTAGTAGAGCTTGAAAGGGGAGGGTGGAGGCATTAGAGTTGAGCTTGGGTGACTCACTCACCCACAGCCCCTTCTTGACCTCGGTTTCCCCACCCAGATTCGATGAGCCAGAGAGGGCAGGGCTTAAACCTGCTGGATAGGGGGACTCTGACTCAGAGGACAGGCGGAGGGAAGAAATGCAGGAAATGTGGCCCAGGAAGCTATAGGACCAGGGAGGGAAGGAGATTTCAGCTTCCCCGGCCCCACCCTTCTGGTCCAAGTCAGCATGGGAAGTGGGGTGGGTTGTAGGATTACTCTAATAGCTCCAAGTAGGCAGGGAAGACAGCACTGAGAGAAGGAACAGGGATAATGACAAGGGGAAACCTGGGGCTTCTCCTTCCCTGTTCCAGAGACCCTTGGGTGTTGCTTTTCTGTTCCCAGGTTTTATCTCAGACTCTGCTTCCATGAAACCAATGCTGGCTGCCCGGGCTGGGGGACTTCCCTACCCCCTCCTAGCTGCTTGAGAGGAAGGGACACAGCCCAGACCAGAGCCTCTTCCACGCCCCTCTTCTCTCCACTCCCAGTAGGTCATGTGACAGTACCTTCACCACCTTCCTGGGCCCACCCAGAATCAAGTGTCAGCATCAAAACTAGTAGTTCTCCACTAGATGCACACAAGGGCCAAGTAGGGAGCTTAAAAAACACCAAAATCTCTGGAGATAGGACCGAGGCCTCGGGTTCTTTTTATAAAGTGACTCTGACATGAAGCCAGCATTGGAAACCACTCACCGAGACTGAGCTCTCTGCATTCCCTGGCCCTTTCTGAGAAGGAGATGGGTGGGTAGGCAGCTCTGACCCAAACCTGAACCCAGGGTCTCCCTGGGAGAACTGAAGGAAGTAGCAGGGTTGGATGGGTGGGACATGGAGTATAAACCCAGAAAAAGGCAGAGGATCTGCCTCACTGTTCGGCCCTCCTGGCCTGATGGGATCTGAAAAGCTGAAGAAGAGCTTCAGACCCTGTTATAGGCAACCCTTATCCAGAATTGGTAGACCAAATGAACTGAAGATTTGGTTTGTGGGGTAAGTGTGCATCTTGGTGGGAAGGAGGGACAGGTTCACTGAGGGGCCCACCCCATAAAATACTAAGGGCTACTGATGTACTTGGAGAGTATCTAGAACAATCCCCGTACTGTCTAGTGAATCCTCAGGCCCAAGAGGGATGGGGCTGGCCCACGTCACAAAAGGTGTTAGTGGCAGAGCTTGATCTAGAACTCCTGGGTGTCCTGATTCCTATTCTCATGTCCCATGACAAATGAATCATCAGTAGAGCATCATCTCTCAAACTGCCTGGTCAGCAAGAGAACTTGGGTACCCACTACCAGGCCTATCCTCTCAGGACTCTGATTGAGTGGGTCTGGGTTGGGGGCCCAGAAATCTGGATTTTAGGTCACATTCTCCCCCATCAGGTGATTCTGATGATGCAAATTTGGGAAACACAGTGGGATGGGAAAGCCGTAATGAACAGAGGATACAGAGCTCCTCCAAGCCCTCCAAAAGGATGCAGGCCTCCAAGCCCAGGAAGCAGCTCCTTCCTTCACAAATAAGGCAGGGCAGCTGCTCTACCTGAGGTTGGGAGGGAGACAGGAGACACAGTCTTGGAGCCCCAATGTCTATTAGGAAGAGGCCTTCAAGGCCCCACAGGATTTACCTCTGTGATCACTTCTCTCTCCAGTCATGCTCTGCTCTAATCCTGGCAGGCTTCCTGCTGACTCTGGAACACACCATGGCCCTCCCTCTCTTCCCTCATTTTAAGTTTTCCCTAACTCTCCATCCACCTAAGTACCAACTTGTTTTCCTCTCACCACCTGACATGGGGCTATGGCTAAAGACCTTGATTCATATATTCATTCACTAGTCAACTCATTCCACAGCAGTTCTCAAGGACAGGCATTAACCACAATATCTTAATGTAAACCGTCTGAGATGGGTCTCAGGCATAAAGTATACCATGGTATAAAGTGTAGCATGTCTTTCAAGGGCAATGTGGTAACAACAAATATTTTAAACATACATAACTTGAAACTAGCAGTCCCACAGAATTCTAGAAATTTATCCTAGAGATGCTTAAAGGGTACTCATTACAGCACTGCTTTTAAGAGTAAGACCAAACATACCATGCAGTAGAGCCTACTGATCAAGAGGAAGAAATTTAAAGTCAAATTCCAGCTCCACCTCTGACCAGTTGTACAACCCAGGGCAAGCCACTAATCTCTGCAGACCTCAGTCTTGTTTGTAAATGGGGGAGTTAAAAGGCCTTCCTTACAGAGCTGTTGTGAGGGTTACGAGTAATAAAGGTAGTAAAGCACTGCTTGATACACAGGTCAGGCTCTGTTACCTTACTATTCTTACAATCAAGCAGCCATTAACAACAATGAGGTGTACACGTATGTGCTGAATATGGAATGATCTTCAATACTGTTAAGTGAGAAAAGCAAATTGGTTAATATGTGCAATGTTCTTTGTGCTAAAACAATCAAAACAATGAAAAAGCTGAAGAGAGAACTTGTATGTGCTCATACGTGCACAGAATATCTCATAAAACATACACAAATTGGGAACGTGGAAGTCTGGAAGGGGACCTCACTTTTTACCTTTCATATGGTTTGATTTTACCACAAATTTTGAAAACAAAAGCAAAAACTAAAAATGCTCTAATAAATAAATAGCAGTAAGCACGGGTGTGATTCTGATATATAGCCAGGATTGGCACCCAATGCTCACCCAACTCCCTGCTCAGGATGGGGTGGTGGGGATGTGTGACCAAGCTTCTTAAGACACTGGCCTGCCCCAAAGGAGCCCCCACTCTAGGGGCAGAGCCATACCACAACCCCAGAATGCTCGCCCTGGTGCTAGAGCAGAGGGGAACCCTCCCTGGTGGGGAGGATGGGAGGGCTGTGAAATGGCTGAGGTCTGGGCTTGCTGGAGCCAAGCTGGGTTCCTGCTGCCCACTGTCTGCGAGACAGGGACTTAAGCTGATGATTCCTGGCCTGAGGAACTGTCTTCCCCTACAGCCATGGTGCTTCTGTGAATTGTACATAAAAACTCAGAAAAATGAAGGTGACTGCTGCTAAGACGGGTAGGCCTGAGAAGAGGAAGGAAGCAGCTCTGGGGGTCCCCAAATCCCAATCCTAGCAGCCCATGCTGATTTCCTCACCTATAAAATGGAGACAACAACATTACCTATCTCATGAGGTTGTTGCGTGGACTAAATGAGTTACTGACAATAAAAATAACAGTTAACATTTATTGAGTGTTTAGTACATGCCAGGCACTGTTCTCAGAGGGGTCGTAACTAACCTAGAAGCACAGTTATCATCTTGATTTTACAGAAGAGGAAACCAAGGCTCAGAAAGGTGAAGTTACTTGATTATACAGCAAGTGACACAACTGGGATTTAAACCTCGACAGTCTGACTCTAGAGCCACCAAAGAACACTGTTTTCAAAGTTACTATACAAGTAAAACCAGTACTTGGCTTGTTGTAGGGACTCAATATGAACCGTTATCCTGAGGAAGAACATGGGAAAAGTTTGGACACGTGCTACATGGGGTCCTGGGGTCCCCTCCCCAGCTAGCTTTCAGGTGCACATACTCCCCCTCTTCTTTGGCCTCCATCACTCCCACCCGTCACCTAGGTCAACACCTCTCCATCCAGCCTTGTGGAGGCCCAGAAGGCCAGAATGGCTTCAGCAGTGCCCCTTGAGATGGTTCTCTGGACTGACTCCTCGCTAGACCTGGGGCCTGAGGGAGAGGTTCTAGCAAAGCCTAGCTCACCCATCCCAATGTCAACTTCGTGGGACAAAGAGCACTTCTCTACTGAGTGTTCAGGAAACTGATACGGACTGTATCTAAATTCAAAACTCTTGAAGCTGTTTATGCCTTAGGTGCAACCTACCTTTGAGGGGGTAAAGAATAGTATAAGATGACATGTGAATTTTGGAAGAGTTCTAAAATTTCCTCCTAGCTCTGACGTCCCGTAGCTTGAGAAATGAACTAATGCTCACCTTCCGTTCCCCTTTCATAGGTAATGACTTTAGTCTGTTCCTTTTAGCTGCCCAGACCAGCCACCCTACATGATCCTTCCTCTGTTACGGGTAGTTTCTAGTTTGCACTGCACTCCCCCAGGAGTCCCCCATTCCATGTCTGAGGATTTCTGGCAACTAAGCCCCAGAAGAGCCATGATGATGACCTGGGAGGTCAGGGACTTCTCACCTACCAACAAGCCTAGAACCCACATTTCTTAGTGCCATTGCTGGGTAGGCCTCCTCAGACACCTGATATCTGTTCCCGTTCCAGGTCTCCCTCCTGCTGTGCGCCCATCGCTGGAGACTCACCAGCACTGTTGGCCTCCGACTCCAGCAGGTGAATGTCATTGCAGTCCGCCAGTGAGTGCTCCAGGCAGAGCTGTAGGAAGCGGGCCTGGGTGCGGGTGACCCGCTTCAGAAGTGACAGCAGGGCCACTGTCTGTTCACACTCATTCCAGCCCTTGAACCAGCCAGCGAGGATGCCCACCTGGTCTCGGAACATCATGGTGCCAGGCCTGGGGCCAGGGTGGGGGGGACGGCGGTGGCAAGGGCCAGCGCCGTCACATGGTCTCGGCTGCGGGCTCCTGTTACCTCTCCCCTGAGGGCCAGGGCTTGAGGATGTTCCCTGGCGTGGTGGCAATGGGTGGTGCAGGGAGGAGGACACCTGCTCACATCGGGGGAGGTCTTGGTCTAGCCACTCCTCTCCAGGCTCCTGGAAAAGGAAGCAAGGTCGTCAGAGAGAATGAAGGGGCTGGAACTGGCCTGGTGAGTGTGGGCTGAAGGAGTAAGGAGGCCTCATGCCTTCCTCTTTCAAGGTACCTACCCTGCTGAGCTCCTGGGAGAAAGATGAAGCTAACCAGATACTAAACCAACTCTCCCTCCAATCTCCAGATCCAGAGAAAAGGCTTGATTGGGACTCAGAGACCCAGACAAAGAAGATGCTGCCCCTCAGGTCTGGCTGTCACAGGGCCAAAGGAAGTGGATTTAAAGCAGAGAGTAAGTTGGCAAGATATTCTAGATGGGAAATAGGAGACAATGCACACTGTGGCAAAATATCTGAATTAATGGAGACCTGGCCCCAGGTGACATGACTAAGCAGACATGTGATGCCTAGCACATGCCCTTTCCTTGCTGGTCTCTGGTCACCTCCTTCAGGGGGCTGGGCAGAGTGACTGCTCGCCTGCTAAAAGGACCCTATGGACTCTTTGTATTGTTTCAAGCTAAGACCCACAAGGCTAGGATATAGGTGGGTGGTGACCCTGGTGGAGATCTCAGGTATGTGGATAGCTAACTGATCAGTAACTGGGTGCCTAAGGGTAGGGGCAGAGGTCCTTTTCAAAGATCTCCAACATGCTGGGGGGATCTCATCTGTTCCAACCCAGCTCTCCCACTCTGATCTCTAAGATCCCACCTATCCCTGTTCTGAAGTGAATCTCTCCCTTCTTCTTCATTCCCTTGAAGGTTACTCCTGACCCAGGTCCTCTGGGTTGGGATGTCCCCTTGGCTCCCAGACATGGCAGCTTGTCACTCAGACTCCTAAGAGCCAAGAGGATACCAACCTGAGAAGGCGACACATCAGATGTTAAAAACTCCCAAGCAAGAAAGTGTCCAAATTCCTTTTGCAGGCAGGAACTACACAGGAGCTGTGTCAACTGGGCAGACAACAGGCCTATTCTTCAGCTGACTGGTTTCTGGACACTACTCTTAAGGCTTTTTCTAAGTGTCTCCTGCTCCAGGTCTCCACTCACATTTCCCCTCTGCCTCTCTTGCAACCAGTGCTCTTGGCTCCATCCCCAAACCATTTGGCTCCATCTCCCTCTGGCTGCCAAGAGGACTGAGAACTCCATACAAAGACCCATTGAACCTGCTGGGCTAGGTTTTAGGGAGCTATTGCCATCTCCCTGAATGTCTATGCTCCTGCTGAGGAGGGCTGTGAGGTACAACTGACAATGGCTGTGACTCACCTCAATAGATCCTCAGTGGGACAGTTGAACAGAGCAAACTGGTCTGGCTGTCAATCCCTTTGGATATAAGAAACAAGAGAAAGTGTGTGTGTGGGGGAATGAAACCTTGCTCCCAGCTAAACAAGCCTCCCAGAAATCTTTTCAAAAGACAAATCAAATGTTGCCTCCCTGGCTTAAAATCCTCCAATGACTTCCTACTATATTTAAATAAAATGCCTACAGGGCTCCCTGCAAGACTCTGGTGGCCCCTCCACCCTCCCTGTGTACCAAACTCTTGTTCACTTGGACCTATCCATGGCTTCCCCCAGACCTATGCATGGCTGGCTTCTACTTGTCACTCAGGTCTCAGCTCAATGTCATTTCCTCGGAGAGCTCTTCCCTGACCATCCAATCTAAGGAGTTTCTCTCTGTCACTCTATTAATGCTATTTCATTTACTCTATATAATTTGGCACCCTTAGATATCATATTTTTGTTTGTTGTTTCTCTCTTCCCAACAAATGCAAGCTATATAGTTGCGCAGTGCCCAGGACAGTGACTAGGACTTAGAAGGTGCTCAATATATATTTATTGAATGAATAAATGAAAGTGAGCATGGAAGCCACACTTGGGACTTCTACAGCCCCTGGGGAGAAGGTGATAGAAGGAATGGCCCAAAGGATGGTAAAGGGATTTGGAAACCTTGCCCTAAGAGAACAATTTGAAGGCACTGGGGAAATTTCCCCTGGGGAAGAGAAGACTCAGGAAGAATGGCATAACTGGCTTCAAATACCTGAAGGGGTAGCACACAGAAGAAGAATTAGATTTGTTTATTTACTCCAGAGGAGAAAAAGGGTAGATGGCTCTAAGTGAGAGGCAACATGAGATATGGGAAATGTTGAAAGTCAAGAAAATTCAGTTCTAGTCTTGCCCCAGCCACTCTGTCACTTTAATCTTTGAGCTAGTCTGCTTCCCTTCTCTAGAATGTGTGAGATAAGGAGCGAGACTGGATCAGACATGACAAATGTGTTTTACCTCACAGGCTAACTCCAATCGATTGGTAGTGGCTGCCCGGAACACTGCAGTGAGAAGGGTCCTGAAGAAATGAAGCAATGGCAATATCCATCACTGGAGAATGACTAATAAATTGGAGCACACCTCATATAAGGGGATGTTAGGTAGTAATTAAAAATATGCTTGATCTTGATAGCAGCATACAAACAATATATTTAGATCTAAGTAGTGTTTGATCTTTAACTACCAAGATGGAGGGATGTCCATAAGTACATAGTAATATGTACAATCATGCCATTTTTGTAAAATGAAAAAAAAAAGAGCCATATACAAAAGCCCTTATATATCTCATATGTCAATGTCTATGTATGTATGTAGAAAAATGTGTATGCTGTTCATATTGGTTACCTTGGAGAGAAGGGGGAATTATTAACACTCTCTTTATATAACTTTGTACTATTTCACTAGTTGCAAATGAACATATATTACTTTTGTAATTTTTAAAGATAAATTTAATTTAAAAAAATTAAGGCTGCATTTTACTTTCTGGTTCAGTGAGAAAGAGTAATGTGATTGATTATCAATGTTTGCCCTGGATACGGGATGGATGAGTGGTAGCTCATGTGCCTGAAAAAAATCAGTTTCCCTTCCCAGCTCCAGCATTTTGTGGCTTTCAGTCCCAAGGAGACAGCAGCTGCCTCAGCATAAGGAAGAATTTTAAAATAATGTATCTGTCCAAGAATGGAACTGGCTGCCATATGAGGAGGTAATAAGCTCCCTGGCTGCTGGAAGTGGTCAAGCAGAGGCTGGATGAATATCCCTTGGGAGTGGGAGGGATTCCTTCACTGGGTGGCAACTCATAAGATAGAAGGACATGTTACTATTTCAGAGGGAACAACTGTGATGGGAGGTTTGCTATGCCAACAGCGTTTACGGCAAAAAGATGACCAAATCCACAAACAGACCAAAGTTGTGCACACTCTTTCCTATAAACACTTTTACTGGGTTGTTACTTTTCCCAAGCAACAGCACTGTGCCCCCCAACAGCACTGTGACCCCCAAATAAACTGCTGACTGAACATTAATCTAGTTTCTTCCCCTGAGCCAAATGCTAGAAGCAAAGCCTTGGGACACAGCAGGATCTCAAACATGATGCTTACAAGGCCAGGTTTTGAATGGAGCAGGCTGGTGAGGACTACGGTGAGCTGGAAAGCACACGCCCTGTCTGAAGGGAGAAGTTACTATTTAGCTCGAACCAGCTGCTGCCATGTAGGGATTTGGGTCCAGTATTGTTAGATCTTAGATTATTATATACTTGTTTTAAAGAGGAGCCAGAAATCTGGATTTTTAAATAAAATCCCATTTTTAAATGTTGGAAAATAATTCATATTAAAAGAGCAACAATGAACCACTATACAGAACAAACAAAGCCTGGGGCCTGCAGTCCTTAGACCAGATAGACACAAACTGTGATAAGACCAAAAGTCCGATAACTATCCCTCTCGAGGGCCTAGAGAAGGTCCTACACGTTTAAGCCACCCCACTGCTCAGGAAACATGATTGGCAGAGAGGATCTAGTGCCCAAGTATGGCTTGGACAGTCCTCAGGAAACACTGGGGCTTTAGGTAACAAACAGTCATGTTTAAGAATATACTATTAGGGGAGGGACAAATTAGGAGTTTGGGAGTAGCAGATACGAACTACTATATACAAAACAGATAAAACAACAAGGTCCTACAGTATAGCACAGGGAACTATATTATCTTGTAATAAACCCTAATGGAAAAGAATATGAAAAAGAATACACACACACACACACACACACTTAACTGATTCACTTTGCTGTACACCAGAAATTAACACAACATTGTAAATCAACTATACTTCAATAAAAATCATCCCTAAAGGAAGTGTTCCTATGTTTTGGACAGGAGAATGCTGGGTGTTTGGTCTGGATGGTGACTGGAGAGGAGAACTGGATGGCTTTCCTCCATCAAAAAGCCAGAGGCCCCCAGCTACCTCCTCTCCTGCGTGCTTGGCAACAATGAGAAAGGAAGACCTGGCTTGGTGAGACTGGCCAGGGAAGAGGCATCAGCCCTGACTATTTGAAGACATCTTACTGTGGTAGCAAATTACTATGATACATTCTGGTGGATTTGTCTGCCAAACATCCATGCCCATCTTCTGGTACCAGGCCCCTAAATTCCCTTTAGAGAATTAACTGTCTTTCTTGGATCTAGGAGCATACATGGAGTAAAGCCTGGCCAAGGAAAGGCCTCCCTGGACTTTTGCTGGAAATATTGGGGAAAATAAGTTCTTGGTTAGGGTTGCTCAGATTATACAACATCTTCTGATAGTCCTGGTTGCCACTTCTGCTACCTCACAGTGAGGGCCTTCCTCAGAATGAAGCCAATACAGATGAAAGCAGAGTCAAAAGAGGGGAGAAAAAGAGACCTGTTCACATCATTTGAAGACCTGTCTCCAGTTAGCCTGAAGCCCCCCATCCCACCTCCCCATCCCAGACTTTTCAGTTACATGGTCCAATAAATTTCTTTTGTGTTGAGGTCAGTTTGAGCTGGGTTTCTACCACTTAAAGTTTCAACTTTAAGCCTTGACTGCTCCCATACAAGAGAATTCACCACTGCTCTAGTCTCCATCCTTATGTGACCAAAAATGACTCCCTGCCTTTGAGAAAAGACACTAGAGGGGAACCCCTATGGTAAAGTCTTTCAAATAGTCCAGCAATATGGCTGCCATACTTGGTCTCTAAGAGACCAAGTAACCTTCTTCAGAAGCATCTTCTAACCCTGGAGGGTGGGAAATGGAGTCAAAAGTTGGCTAAGAGGTTCCAGGAAAAACTGTCCACTGGACTTTTTCTTTGGCCCCAGTGAAAAGCAGCCCACATACAGGAGGCGCCTCTGGAGGTCAGCTCTCCTCATCCACAAGCAGCACTGTGGAGTGAGACCTGGCTGAACCAGCGCTCTCCTACTGATACCAACTTGCTGTGCTGACCTTTGGCAAGTAACTCAGTTTCTTCCTCAGTGAAGCTTGTTGTAAGAATGAGATGAAAGAATATATATAAAAACACCTAGCATGATGCTTCAAATGTCTTCACATCATATATTATTGTATCATGTGCCAGGCCTTATGCTAATAGCTTTCCATGGATGAGCTCATCTGATCTCAAAAACTATAACTATATATATGTATATAATAGTATTCTCATTTTACAGATGAAGACACTGAGACACAGAGAAGGTCAAGTCACTTACCCAAGACTGCACACAGCTAAGCTGAGATTTTTAAGGCCAAGCAGTCTGCTTCTTCCTGCAAATAATGCTACAGTGTATTTGTTTATATTTAATTATATAAACTTATAAATATATATATATTTATAAGTTTATACATATATATATATATAAGTTTATATATTATATATTTATATATATTTATAAGTTCCCTTCCACTGCCTAGAAAGCTGGACCAAGCTGGACCAAAGCATATACCCTTTAACGCCAACATCTCTGGACAAATAACGGGAGGGTCCTATTAGCCTTCCCACCTATCCCTAGCCTTTCTACAGCATCCACATAGGCCTTGGAGGAGCTTGTTCATTTCATGAGTAAAGTAATAGGCTAGTTACCTAAGATTAACTCACTATCCCAACTTGAGAAGAACAGGAGAATGTCAGAAGCCAAGGGACCCCAACTTCTCTCTTATGAAAACCAACCATTATTTTCAGAAACTCGTGAAATATGTATACAAAATATGTATATTACTGCCTCAGCCAAGAATGAGGCTCTTGTATGAATGGTCCTGGAGAAGGGAAGGAGAGGAGGGGAGAAGCCAGGCAGGGCCTCCTGGAAGATAACAGAGCCTGGGGAGCTCTGGGAAACCTGCATAATTTGGGGCAAATGCTCTTACCTTGCAGTGTCTGTTTTTTCATCTGTAAAATGGGTTTAATACTAGTACCTACTCTCATAGTGTTGTGAGGCATAAATACCCTCACAGACTTGTTACCTAGTATCATCATCCTGGATTCCTCTTTCTCTAATCCCATCATTAACTCCTGTTTTCTCAACATGGAACATGTATATCTGTATCCCTCCATTTTTACTACCACCACCATATTCAAGTCATCATCCTTTCTCATCTGGACAAATGTATTGCCTCCTGCTTCCATTCTTGCCCCTGTTTTCCTTGCAGAAACCAGTGAATTTTCTTTACAAACAACCAAACAAGCAAACAAATCATGTCACTGTCTTGCTTTAAAAATCCTCTAATAGGGACTTCCCTGGTGGCGCAGTGGTTAAGAATCTGCCTGCCAATGCAGCGGACACGGGTTCGATCCCTAGTCCGGGAAGATCCCACATGCCGCAGAGCAACTAAGCCCGTGTGTCACAACTACTGAGCCTGCACTCTGGAGCCCGCGAGCCACAACTACTGAGCCCACATGCCACAACTACTGAAGCCTGTGAGCCTAGAGCCTGTGCTCCTCAACAAGAGAAGCCACTGCAACGAGAAGGCCGCGCACCGCAACGAAGAGTAGCCTCCACTCGCCGCAACTAGAGAAAGCCCGCGCACAGCAACAGACCCAACACAGCCAAAAAAAAAAAAAAAAAAAAAAAATCCTCTAATAGCTTCGCAATGCTCTTATGTGAAAATGTAAACTCCTTACCATAGCCCACAAGGCCCCACATGATCTGGCCTCTGTCAACCACTCCAAGCCCTTGCCCCTTCTGCTTCACTTATGCTTCAGCCACAACGAGCTCCTTGATGTTCCTTGAACACATCTGAGGGGTTTTGCACTGGCTGACCCCTCTACCCGAAATGTTCTTCCCCAGATCATCACATGGCTGGTTCCTTCTCATCAATCAGATCTGGGTTCATGTGTGCCCCAATCTTCCTCATCTCCCCAGTAGGAAGGAGTCTTTGGTCTGATATCGTCGTCAAAAAGTGTTTCTTCAAAGGCTGCAGCTCTTCCGGAAACACCTAGACTGTAAGATCCACGAGGGAAAGGAAGACTGTGGCTGTATTATTCACGGCTACATTTTCAATTCCTAGAATAGTACCTCGCACATAACAGACCCTCAGTAAGCATCTGTGAAAAATTTCCCCACCTTGCAGCAGTCCTTTCTCCACATGTAACTATGCTTAGATTAGAATGCCCAGCTCTTAGATCTTCCCACAACTGGTGCCTTCTCATCTTTCAGGTTATCAGGCTCAACTGTCACCTCCTCAAAGAGGCCAATTCTGACCATCCTGTGTACAGTGGCCAACCTCCCACCCCCTTCACACTGTTTTAATTCCTTCATAGCACATATCACTACCTGATTTCTTTTGTTTATATATCTTCCCTCCATCAGATTATAAGACACAAGAGCGCTAAGACCTTGACTGTTTCATTCACTGGTGTATCTCCAGTACCTAGAAAAGTGCTTTCATAAATTGTTTAATTGCTGGAGACGTCTGAGATGTGCACACTCTACACTGCTGTTCTGTTACTTGCCCTCGACCAGACTCTATTCAACAAATTTACCCTAAAACAAACAAAACAAAACTCTACTCACAGTAATCTACTTAACCTTCTTCTAAAGTTCTGAGCCCTAGAAACCCAAAGCTGAGGTAAGGAACTGAACATGAGTACTCCTGGATTCCACTACCCCAAGGCTATAACCAAACCAGGCCAGTCATCTCATTCCTGTTTCTCCCAGTGAGATCCCAAAGGCAAGTCTGGTGGGGTGAGACCAGCCATAAACTCTCTGGATCCAAACGACCATAGAGAAGAGAATGATTGGGGCTGGGGAACAGTGAAGAGGGGGACTACCATCAACCCTCAGAAAGGTCATGGGATGGAATCACAGTCCTGTCTGGTTTAGCAAGCAAGAGAGTCTCTAAGACTGCCGCTCACCTAAACATGTCTCAAAGGATCTTCTGTCACCATTTCACACTTATTCAGAGAGGAAACTGTTTTCAAACTGGGGCTCTCAGGAAAGAGTTCTCTTTCCAGTGAGACTGCTAAGAAGGTAGGGTTTAAGCCTACAGTTGCTGAGGGTCATCTTTGCCGTCACAAAGCAGAAACCAGTTGAGGATGAAGCTAAGTCAGTGGAGAAATGGGGAGAGATTACTAGGAATATTGAACTCCTGGATGCAGGTAGGTCTAGAGCCATCCTAGTTCTGGACTTTTCAGTAACATGAGCCAATTAATTCTCTTTATTTTTATTAAACCAGTTTGAGCTAACGTACTGTCACCTATATCTTAGAGTCTTGGTTGATATGAACTTTTTTTTTTTTTGCTAAAACTGAGCACTTATATACAAGGCATTGTTCTAAATACTTTATACATATTAACTTATTTAATCCTTATAATAGTTCTATGAAGTAAGATATTATTACCTTCATTTTTCAACTCTGGAAACTAAGGACCAGAGAAGTTCAATAACTTGTCCTAGGTCACAAAACAGGGGGTAAGCAATGATGTGGGATGCAAATCCTGTCTGGCCCCAGAGTCTGCATACTTGATCACTACACTACAATGCCCCATTGCACCCAACCCTATCTGAACAGAAAATCCAACTCTCTGACCCCAGACACTATCATCCTGGGACGGACAGAGCCCAGAGACCTTCTATTTGTGCCACCTGTCCTCAATTTCATCCTTTGTAAAATGAGGATAATCACAGTTTACCTACCTCATAGAGTTCCTGTGAATATGAGATGAGACAATACATGTGAAGCACTTAAACAGTGACTGGCAGATAATAATTACTCAATAAACAGTGGTCATTAACATTATTACTCTGTGGGTCACTAGAGTGCAACTGGCAAATACAATGCAGATGGAAGAGATCTGTTTTCTTTCACCTCTGTCCTTTAGGTGAAGAGAAGAGATGCCATGGGTTAGAGATGAAGAGTCTTTCTTGTCTTTCACCCACTGCATAAGCTGCATCCTCTGCCTGGAAGACCACTCATCCTTGTCCCAACTCTTGTGGAACAGCACCCAGAACAAATACCACCTCTTCTATGAAGTCTCTCCAGATAGAGGGTGCCTTCTCTCACTGCCAAATTTCCACAGTATATAATTTGTACCTCACGTTCTGTCCCGTGTACCTGCCCAACCTATCTACTGTACTGTGAGCTCCCTGAAGGCCAGCCCCAGTATTTACCTCGTGATCTGTTTATTCTTCTCAAACTTAGAGAGAAACAAAAACCCTTGGAGAAAGTTGAGAGCCCTGTGGAGGCCCCAAACCTACAAAGGCTGAGGAGGGCTGAGAAGCCAACTAGGATGGGGTGAGGCAGATCCCCAGGAATAGGACGTGGGGTAGCTAAGAATTAGGAAACAGCACAAAGAAAAGCTCCAGATGAGAGAGGGTGGGGAAGGCAGCCTCTCCTAGGAGGAGTGGCAAAAGGAGCTGGGTAGAGAGAATAAAAGAGGGGAGAGGAGAGGAGGGGGTGGATAAGATGTGTTGAACCTGAATGGGGAGTGAGAGTAAGGAACTCAGAGATTTCTGACCAAATGCAGGAAGAGCTGCCCATGAGCCAATGATTCCTAATAACTTACAGAGGGAAGGATCCCAGCTTGTGGGATTCAGAAAAGAACAAGTTACATCCTGGTACTTTCCAAACTCTCAGGCCAGTGAGGATGAGTGGACAAGTACATGAAAAACTACAAGGAAGAAGATGAGCGGTGCTCTAAGAAGTACAATGGAAGGCTCTGGGCAGTAAGACACAGAGAATGAAAAGACTGGAAGGTGCCTTAAGGCAAGGGTGCCTATGTGGAGAACAGATGAGGAATAGATAAGGAGAAGAGATGGACATGTGTGTTCAAGAAGGGAGCAACTTGAAGCAGAAGCACAGAAAGGGGATGGTATGGAGGGGTGGAGGGGAAGCCAGAAGGAGAAAATGCTGAGGAAGATCTGAAAGGGAACCATTCAAAGACGGAATATGAAGTAATTGCTCAGAGGGTGGGGTAACCTTGTGGAGAAACCAGAAACCTTTCAAAGAGGGTAAGGAATCTTCTGGAGGGTAGGTACTTCACAAAGGGGACTCCCAGGAAAATGGGGGTGGGCAGTAGGGCACAGAGGCATATGCTGAGATATCTTTCAGGGGGGCTTTCTGTGGGGAAAGGGAAATCCTCTTAGAGGGCAGTGGTTCTCAAACTTGAGCATGCATCAGAATCACCAGGAAGGTTCCTAAAAACAGCTGGGCCCTACTCCTAGGTTTTCTGATTCAGCAGGTCTGGGTTGGGACCTAAGAATTTGCATTTCTAACAAGTTCTCAGGTGATGCTGATGTTGCTGGTCCAGGGACAACACTCCGAGAACCACTACTATAGGGGGAGGGATTCTTTTGTGAGGAGGCCCTCAAAGTGGAAAAAGGAAGGAGAAGGCTTCAGAGAGGAAAATCAGGGGAGTCTTCAAGGAGAGTCTAAGGAGGGTGGGAATTCCCTGGCGGTTCAGTGGTTAGAACTCCATGCTCTCAATGCCGAGGGCCTGGGTTCAATCCCTGGTCAGGGAGCTAAAATCCCACAAGCCTTGCAGCGCAGCCAAAAAAATAAAAACCTTAAAAAAAAAAAAAAAGAGTCTAAGGAAGGTGTTAAGGGTCTCTCCATCTCTCTGAAGGGAAGATCTAAAGGGAGGAGGGGTCTATGAAGATAGAACCTAAGAAAAATGGTCTGAGAGAAAGATCTCCGAGAGTTGGGATTTCAAGAGGTGAGGGTATCTCTTGAGGATCTGTTTAATAAAAGGGGACATAGAGACTCTTGAGAGGGGGAGTCTGCAGGATTCTGGGGGCCTATGGTGGGATAATGGGGGAAGGAGGCTCAGATCTGAGAAGGATCTCTAAGTTGATTGCAGAGGAAGGAGAATGGAGATGAGAGGGTGTAAATGGGGGTTCTAAAAGGGGTATATCTGATAGGGCCCTGAATAAGGCTTCTTGGGGATGTCGGAGGGAGAGCCTGAGAGAGAGTGTTCTGAGGAAGTCTTACAAAGTGCTGGAGTTGCTGATGCACAGCAATTTTGGAGAAAATTCTCTAAAGGGAGTCTGTGGAGGTGTGGTCTTCTGTGAGAGATCTTAGATTTACTGGAGCAGGATGACAGAGGCCTTTTTAGGAACAGCTCTCAAAGAGCTCAGATGAGAAACTCTGAGTAAAGGTCTCAATAGGATATATGGGGAAGGTGGGTCTTGGGGTGGGGGAATATGGGAACATCAGAGTAGAGGGTTTTTCAAAAAAAAATTCTGGGACTTTCTAAGAAAAGGAGCCGGTTGGTGCTGGGGGTCTTCTACAGGTGGTTCTAGAGGATTTGAGGGAAGCTGTGAGGGTGAGTTCAGGGAGGGAACTATCTAGGAAAAGTCTCTTAGTAAGGCAGGAGGTCTCTAAGTGCTGATTCAAGGGTCTCTGTGCTGGAAGGGTCTCTGGGAGGGATTTCAAGGGCGTATCTCAGAGGGCTCAAGGAGGTGGCTGGGGTCTCTGTGAAGACAGGAGGAGGTCTTGAAAAGCTGCATCTCAGAGGGGTCATGAAGAGAGGGTATTAGGGTTTACAGGGCTTGTGAGGAGGAAAGTTCATCAGAATAGGTCTAGAAGGAGAGATTTTGAAAGGGGGATTCGAAGAGCGATTCTAGAAAATATCAGAGAGAAACTATGAGGAAACGTTTTGGAATCCTGAGGAAGCAATTTCTGGAACATTTTGTGTGGGTTACTAGGAGATTTGTGATACATGAAGAGGGTTTTGGAAGAGACTTGTGGAATGTGGAAGAAGAGTTCTCCAGAGATTTCAGGGAATCTCTGGAGGAGATTTTTGGGATAAGTGAGGAGGGTCTCAGGGGAAGATTTCTGGGGTATCTGAGGGTGATCTCTAGGGCATTTCAGGGTGGTGAGATTTGAGAAGCATGAGGAGGTCTTTGAGAGAGATTTTTGGGACCTGTGGGAGAGGCCAAAGGGATGACTTTTGGGATATGTCAAGGGGGAGTGTATATGGGAGATGGATTGGTGGCGGCGGGGCGGGGTGGCGCTCCAAGTGAGTTTTGAGGATCCGAGGCCATTTCAGAGAGTCTCTGAGGAAGATTTTCAGGGGACATCAGGGGCATTCTGGAGGATTCCAAGGGGAGGGGCTCTGAGATTTGGGGGCTATGAGTGGAAAATCTCCAAGGCGATTTCTGGTATGGGGGTAGGTGGGAGGGAAAATTCTTGGGATGTGTGAGAAGGAAGTCTGGGGGAGACTGTTGGGATGTGCGAAGCAGGTCGCTGGGGGAGATTTCTGGAATGTACAGGGTCTGGAGAGGATTTCGGGGAATCTCTGATCTGAAGGAGATTTTTAGGGCTTACGAGGGAGGTTCCTGGAGAAGATATCTGACACATATCGTTGGAATATGAGGAGTGGCCCCGGGGAAATATTTCTGGACGGAGGAGGAGATTCGGGGATCTGGGACCAGACGGGGGTTCTCTGAGGAAGATATTTGAGGCGTAGGACGGGGTCTGGAGCAGACGTGTAAATATCAGGGGTGGCCTCTCGGGAAGCCTTTCGCACCGCGGAAAGGTACAGAGGGCTTCGGGCGGATTCGGGGGGTCTGTGGGCGTGCCCTCCAGGGAGGTGTCCGAGGTACACCTGGGGGGGGTCACGAGATAGGCTGCTGCCGGGCCCCCCGGCCACCCCGAGGGGCGAGAATTTCGGAGAGAAGCTCGAGAAGCGGCCTGTGAGGGCGACTCGGGGGATGGGTGTGGGAGATTCTCTCGAGGGTCGGGACCCCGGAGGCCCGCGCTCCGCGCCCGCCGCCTCCCGGGGTCCCTGAGGGGGCGGGGCCGCCCGCGGCCTGGGGCGCCCTGAGGTGAGCCCCGCGCGCTCCGACCCGCCGCCGCCCCGCGTCCGCCCGACCCTGCCCACCACTCACCGCCTCGGCCTCCGCCGCCGCCGCCGCCGCCCGGGCCTCCTCAGGCCTCCGCCACTGCCGTCGCCCCCTCTCCGGCCCGCGAGCTCCCCTCCCTCCTCCCTCACCGACCACCGCCGCCGCCACCGCCGCCGTCGCGCTGCGTCACCGCGCCGTGCGTCACCGCCCCTGGCCCCGCCCCGACGGGACTGCCGCGCGCCGGCATTAGCTGACGCCGCGGAGAGGAACGGTACGCCCGCCAACGGGCTGCGAGGGCAGTCCGAAGGGCGGGAGGTGTGCGCGGAGAAAGGCGGGGTCCCAGCGGAGAAGGGGGCCGCGGGGGTTGAACTAGGCCCACGAGGCCCGCCCCCCGCTCAGTGGGATTGGCCTGCTGCGCGGCTGACGGGCAGTCAGCCCGGCGGGCGGGGAAGGGGCGGGGCGCGCGCGGCGTTGCCACGGGCAACGGGCCCTGCGGAGCCCGGCGGAGCCTGGGATTGGGCCTCCCGGCCTGCAGGGGACAGTCTCGCGCGCGTCTACCTCAGCGGCCTCGAGCTAAGTCACAATTCCTGATTCTGGCGTTCAAGGCCCGGCTGTGCGCCCCGCCTGCACGCTCCGCTCTAGGCCTGGGCCCTGCCACCACCTGACTGTCTAGGTTGCGAGTAACCGCTCCGGCTGCTGGAGTCTCAGCTTTCCCACCGCAACCGTCTGTGAGCCTGTTGCTTCTTCTCTCAGATAGGAATTGAAAGAGAGGAAGCATTTAAAAGTGCCGGGCAGGGCTTCCCTGGTGGCGCAGTGGTTAAGAATCCGCCTGCCAATGCAGGGGGGCAATGGTTCGAGCCCTGGTCCGGGAGCAGCTAAGCCCGTGTGCCACAACTACTGAGCCTGCGTTCTAGAGTCCACATGCCACAACTACTGAGCCAGCGTGCTACAACTACTGAAGCCACCACGCCTAGAACCTGTGCTGCACAACAAGAGAAGCCACCGCAGTGAGAAGCCCGCGCCCTGCAACGGAAGACCCAATGCAGGCAAAAATAAATAATTAATTAAATTAAAAAAAATTGTTGATAAAGCGGTGGGTGCAAAGCCTTCACTAAGTGGGAGTTGTTGCTCTGACTGTTGTAACCTATTCATTCCGCACACTGTCCTGGATCAGTGTGAACTAAGCAGAGCAGGGCACTCACTCAGAAGGCTGTCAGGTGACAGAGGCGTGGTTATTAGAGGAACCCAAAGAAAGGCAGTCGGAGTGGAACATAGAGTTCACCGCGGAGTTTGGCCTCTTGAGAGAGTTTGGTTTTGTCCCGAGGACGCTGAGGAGCCATGGAAGGGCTTCAAGCCAAGGAGAGTCAGTGGGGGTTTGCAAAGATGTCTCTGGCTTTTATATGGAAGATGGATTGGAGGAAATAGAACTGGAGCCGAGAGTCCAGGGAGGCAGCTGGGGTAGGAGAGGGGCGTTTGCACCAGGGTGGGACTGTGGGGAGTGGAGGAGGAGTGGGTGGCAGGGCTGGATGCCCAGGAGGCCCGGGGAACCTGCTCTGGGACTGGGTGGCCGCAGAGGGGTAGGGAGGGAGAAGTTCAAGATGAGGCCCTCTGGCTAGAAGGTTGGGGGGATTGGGGGCTTCCCTGAGAAGGAGACCCAGAGGAGAAGCAGGTTAGGAAGATGCTGAGCCCAGTGTGTGCCACCCAGCGTGAGGATTTAGGCGGCTCCACACCCCTGGGGCTGGGGCTTAAGAGAAAAATTGGGGCTGGAAACCAAGATCTGAGGGTGATCAAAGATGGTAATTGAAGCTGTGGGAGTTAGTGACCTAGTGTGCGGTGGGTATGAAGGATGAATGGAGACAAGGACTGGACAGAACCTTGAGAAGAGGAGACGTATAAGGTTTGAGCAAAGGAATTGACACTCTCAACAAAGATTGAGAAGGAACAGCCAGAGAGAGAGAGGAGGAAGAAAACCAGGAAAACATGGCATCTCAGACGCTGTGAGGAAAGGCCATTTTATTAAAAAATTTTTTTAATTAAAAAAATTTTATTTATTTATTTTTGGCTGCGTTGGGTCTTTGTTTCTGCTAGCGGGCTTTCTCTAGTTGTGGCGAGCGCGGGCTACTCTTCGTTGCAGGGTGCGGACTTCTCATTGCAGTGGCTTCTCTTGTGGAGCACGGGCTCTAGGTGCGCAGGCTTCAGTAGTTTTGGCACAAGGGCTCAGTAGTTGTGGCTTGCGGGCTGTAGAGCGCAGGCTCAGTAGTTGTGACACACGGGCTTAGTTGCTCCGCAGCATGTGGGAATCTTCCCGGACCAGGGTTCGAACCCGTGTCCCCTGCGTTGGCAGGTGGATTCTTAACCACGGCGCCACCAGGGAAGCCTGGAAAGGCCACTTTAAAACAGAGTGGGGGGGGGATATCACAAACCCTAAGCATTACCCCCTCCATTTAAGCAACAACTTTCACACCATATAGAATGGTTGTGCTCTAAGGATGCTGGTTCATTTATTCATTCAATAAGACTTCTTGAGTACCTAAAATGTGCCAGGCACTACCCGAAGTGCTAAAAATTCAGCAATGAACGAGGCAGGCAAAAATCCCTCTCTTCATGAGGCTTACCTTCTAGTTGGGGGGGACAGAAACAAATAAATAC